CGGGCAAGCGGGGACGTGCCGGGCAAGCGGGGGCGTGGCGGGCAAGCGGGGGCGTGGCGGACGAGCGGGGGCGTGGCGGACGAGCGGGAGCCCCGCCCCCCGGCTCCGTCCCAGCCGAGCTCTCCCTGCAGTTCCGCTGCTGCGGGGTGACCAACTACACCGACTGGTTCGACGTCTACAATGCGACGCGCGTGCCCGACTCCTGCTGCCTGGAGTTCAGCGAGAGCTGCGGGCTGCACGCGCCGGGCACCTGGTGGAAGGCGGTGAGCCTGCGGCCTGGACCCGGGGCCTGGGGTTGGAGGGCCGGCCTCCCTGCTCCGGAGCGGACGCCAAACTGCGTGTCGCCCGCTTTTCCTCCAGCCGTGCTACGAGACGGTCAAGATGTGGCTCCAAGAAAACCTGCTGGCCGTGGGCGTCTTCGGGCTGTGCACGGCGCTCGTGCAGGTACGCGGGCGGGGCCCGGAGCCGCCAGGACCCACCCGCACCGCCCCGGCGCTGTGTGGAGGCCCTGCCCCCATGGAATCTGTGCCCCCAGGCAGAGGTGGGGTTCGTGGGGAGTGGTCAGGGACACCCGTGGGGAGGTGACCTTTGACATCGGGGATCCTGAGAGCCCCGGTCTCCTAGTGGACTGAGGTGTAGCCCGGACGCCCCTGTGCGGGACGGGGAGGGACTGCGCCCCAGGAGCGTGGTGGGTGGTGTCACAGGACTGCTCAGTGTAGCGCGAGGGTGGACAGCCCAGGCCCTGACATCCAGGTCCAGCTGATCGGCCCCGGGTCCCCATGGGAGTCCTGAGTGTCGGCGTCCAGGGAGCGGGAGGCCAAGCTCTCAGTAAGCCTGGTCAGGGCAGCTGCCTTTCCCGGGGTCACAGACAGGTGAGGGGTTGAGGTCAGATCAGAGGACACTCTGAGGTGCCGATCACGGATGAATGGGCACGAGGCAGACTGCTGGGCGTCTCCAGGCAGCTGGGGAGGTGGCATGTGGCCAAGGCCCAGCCTGGAGCCGACGGGCCCTTAAACAGGCAGTGAAACCGTCAAGGAGCCCAGGGCGGCCAAGCCCCTGGGGAAGGGGGCCTGGGGGCCGAGCCCTCGGACCCATGGGGTGTGCCCTCTGTGGTGGGCAGGCCCTGCCTAGAGGTCAGAGGTGGAGTGGCTGTGATGGACCTGAACTGTCAAGGGTGGGGGACACACCCCGAGAAGGGGGTACCAGGCTATCCGGGAAGCTGCGGGCGGGGTCTGGGAGCCCAGGCTTTGGGGGTCAGTGCCCTTCTGGGCTCGTGGCCCCGGGGGGCGGTTCTGCCCAGCCCCCTCCTGTCCCCACAGGTCCTGGGTCTGACCTTCGCCATGACCATGTACTGCCAGGTGCTGAAGGCCGACACCTACTGCGCATAGGCTGCCCGCTGCCTGCCACCCGCTTCACTGCCAGAGCACGTCACCCACCGGGGAGGTGACCTCATAGGACTCTCTGCCAGCCTGGGCGTGGGGGAGGGGAGGAGCAGGTGGCCGGAGCCCCCAGGACCCCTGGCCAGGCCTGTGAGCACCGAGCTAGAGGGGGTGGCTGAGCGCAGGCCACTTGCTGGGGGCGGGGTTGGGGGTGCTTGTGGCACTTTCCTTTCACATCCTTGTGTTCTCCAGGGCAGTGTTTCCCGAGACCCTGTACAGGGCAGGGGTTGGGGCCGCAGCGGGCTGGGGTGGGGCAAGGGGCCCACTGCCAGTCCAGGTGCTTGAGACAGGCTGCAGTCTCGCATCCACATTCCACGTGGGGCCAGGGCAGGCTCCCAGCGCATCGTAATAAAGTGCGGGCAGCAGCCCCCCACCTGCCCGCCTGTGTGTGTCACTGCCCTGTGCCCCCATGGGGGTGTGTCCATGGACCCCCACCGATGCCCAGGCCAGGCAGATGGGTGTTCCGCACCTCAAAGGACAGCCACCAGGCCTCCATTAAAATGGCTGAGCAGTGGAATGGAGGTTCCAGGAACGGCCCCAAGCCTCCATGACCCGTCTGCATCCACGGCCCCGTGCTAGGGATGTCTTGTCTCCACCCCGCGCCTGCTGTGGGGTGTCCCCTCCACCCAGCCCCAGGGGTGTTCTCAGCAAGTGTGGCTCAGCACCGTCCTGATTTCTATTCCTGCTTTGCTCCTGGGAACCTGGCCCTTAAGTGTCACTCCGTGGACTTCGGGAAGTGAGTGGGCTGTGGGGCGCAGAGCGGCTGTCACAGGCTCAGAATCAGCAGTGGTCCACCTGCATCAAGTCGCTCAGATGGGTCTCTGGTGGGCAGGACTGATGGGGAGTGAGGGGCCTGGGTCTGGGGTTCTGGTCGGAAGATGGGCCCCTCAGGAGCCTCACGGGCTGTGGGGCATCTGACCCCCCAAGTCACCCCCATAACCTCTGATTTCCAGCCCCTGGTCCTGCCAGCTCCGCGGTCCTTCCTCAGCCCCCCCCCACCTGTGTCACTGTCCTACGGCAGACCCACCCTGTGACCCCCACCAAGCACGGGCTGCGGCCACAGACAACCCAGACCACCAGGGTGCCCAGCTCCTCCCTGGTCCTGTCGTGCGCCCACGTCCCCGACACCGCCTGTCCTTACTCTGTGGAAGCCACCAGCACCCCTGGGAAACTGCCACCAGAGTTAACATGGAGGTAGCAGCCTCAGGACACACGATTAACACACCAAAACCAAACTTGCTTACACACCAGCAAGTGACAGGAAGGGACAGCAGTCACATCCAGAAAAACTGTCCTAACCCCCCCAGCACCCACACTGCCCTAGGGCCTGTGTCAGGCCCCCATTCACGTTTCTCTGCAGCCCTGGGTGACAGGGAGACCTGATCTCCCCGCGTGGACTTGTGGGCACAGACCCTTTGTTTGCAGCCTCCAGGCATCGTCTGCGTCCAGCCCTGACTCAACTTCCCCCAGGGCCCGAACTGCACTGGGGGCCTGTCCCTCCGTGCTGATCCATCTGGTGTGGGAGCCTCGGGTCCAGCCCCAAGACCCATCCCAGCTCCCCACTGGTCCCCAAGTCTTCCAAACCCCAAGGTGAGAAGCCCCCACATCCAGTGCCCTGTCACCTACCTGGCTCCCTGTTCCCTGACACCTGTCACACTGCCAGACCCCAGACCGCTGCCCCTGATGTGGGGGCCTCACCCCTCCTCTCCTGCCTGGGCCTTTGAAGCTGGGAGGTCAGCCCCTGCCCACAGCCAGGGTGGCGGGTGTGGGGCCGAGGGCTCAGGGAGACGGACCACCCCAGGGAGCCCCATGCCGTGGTCCCATGTGCCGGTCAGCATCCCCACCCACCAAACCACATGCAGCCAGGCTCACGTGTGCACACCGCCCCGCACCCAACCGTTCTTCCATTCAGGCCCAGCCCCACCCCCACCCTGAATCTGGGGGGCCAGGTCTGTTTCCCAGAACCAATGGGCTGCTCTACCCTTCCACCCCAAGAGCAGGCCTGGGCGGGGACAGTTTGCAGGGCCTGCCTGACCCACCAGCGTGGCAGGAGTTGGGTGCCCAGGCTGCCCTCCCAGCTGGGCTGGTTACTGTCGTGGGCCCCACGGCCGACCTGCTGTACCGAGTGGTACTTCCTCAGCGCAGCCTAGCGGACAGAGCGGCTCTTCGAGGGCCTGGTGGCCCAGCCAGGCCAACCAAGGACAGATGCCAGTCCCCTTTCATGTCCCATAGCGAAAAGAGGGAACGTGACCCTTATCTCAGGACTCACAGCTCAGGACCCCAAGTGTCCACGCACAGCGCCAGGCCCTGGGTGAGTGCGCGGACAGCCGGCCCACCGAGGTGAACTGGGCAGTGGGGCCAGGGCCGGCTGTCCTTTGGCTGCTCGCAATCTGAGTTTCCCAATGTTTCATCGCAGGAATGTGGCCACACCACGGCACCAACAGGCTCCCAGGGGCCCAGGGCCGAGGGCCGGCCTCTCGGCCTGGTTTCTGCATGGGCCCCCCCACACACCCACGCCTTGGGGCGCTTGGGCTAGTTTGCAGCTTGTATGGGCAGGTGAGCCAGCGTGGGCAGTGTGGCCCCTTTGTGTGGCCCTGGGTGACCAGATGGAGCTGCCCCTGCCAGGGTCCAGCGTGGGAGCCTGTGCTGTCCTGGAACTCCCAAACCCACAATGAACCACACAGGCTGTGTGCCGTGGTGGGTGCCCGGCCCCCTGGCATGGCCCTGGGTTCTGCTCCCACTCGACCGACAGCAGCAGCAAGGCTGGTGGGGGCGGCCTGTGTTCTCAGGGCACCCTGGGCCAGGGCTGTCTACCCACAACACTGGTCACTCCCGAGGTGAGGGTCCCAGGACGCCTCTGACCCGCCCAAAGACCACAGCAGACACGGCAGGAAGAGAGAAGCGTCTGTATTTTCACGTCTGCTCTGGGGCGGGCCTACAGCAGGTCATAGAAGTAATCGAGGCCCTGGCCCAGCTCCCAGATGGACAGCCCGACGCCCAGCTCCCTGGCCAGCTCCAGCCGCACCTGCAGGGACTGCAGACGGAGGGAACCTTGGCCTCTCTCTCTCTCGTCTCCATGGCAGCCCCTGGTGGCCTGCCCACCGCCCAGAACATGCCCAGGTCTGAGCCCCTTGTCCCCAGGGTAGCACCTCAGACCTTGTGCTGACCCCTCTGCCCAGCTCGACCCCACTGAGCGCATGGGCCATCATGGGAGGTGTGCCTGCTCCCGCCCCCAGACCAGGCTGGGCCCGCACGTACCTTCAGAGTCGGGTAGAACACAACGTGCCTCCCACCGCGGCTTCTGCAAGACAGGGGCACGGTCTGCCTCCCGCCCTGGTGCCTCCCGCCCTGGTGCCCCCCTTGCCCCCTCAGCCCAGGTCTTGGGTCTGGTTGCAAAAGCCAGGCCAGGCCGGCCCTCAGGCAGAGGTCGAGCTTGTGGCTGCAGAGCACTGGCCAGCCCCCACCTTACCGTGTGCCCCCACTCTCGCCCCGGGGCCTTGTCCTGGACACTCACTTCTTGTACTCGAAATAGTGCTCCGCGGCCTGGCTGTCCCACACCATCTGGGGCCTGTGCTCCTTCAGTGTCTGGATGTACCTGGAGAGGCCGGGCTGTGAGTGTGGGAGCCCCCGAGGCCTCGCCCGCAGCCCGAACACCTGGAAGTGGTGAGGCCGCCGGGGGCAGCAGGACTCGGGGCCATCATCCCCCCAATGTCCAGGGAGCATTAGCAGCTGGCCCGGCAGTGCGGGAGGGCCACGCGTACACCCTGGACTCGAGGAAGTGCCAGGAACCAGGACTGTGGGGCAGGGCCTGAGACGCTGGGCGGGACGGCTGCAGGCTGGGCACCTCACACCCCAGGGAGGGGGACAGAGACCCCCACAGGCTCCTGGGATCGGAGCACACACTCGGCAGCATTTCCCAGCTTGACTTTGGGTTGGCACCGCCTGCATCACAGCACTGGGTGTCCTGAGTGAAGGCCCCTGCTGGGTGGGCGGGGCACACCTGCTGGGGGACTGCCTGGGCGGCAGGGGTGACAAGTTGTGCAGTTGTGGGAGGGGCCAGGCCTGACAATGCCAGGGTATCTGAAGCGGCTGTGGTCAGCCACTCCATGGACGAAGGAGACATCAATGGGCCCACTGGATGTGCTCTCCATGGGGTCTGGGCCAGAAAGATGCACAGCCCTTGATTGAAGCGCCACTCAGTGTCGCCCAGCGTCTGCTAAGTGGCTCTGATAAGTCTGGGTTGGGAGGGCGGCACTCCAGCCCAGCCTGCCCCTGAGCCCCTAGTCCCATCCTGGTGGCAGGTGTCCAGGGTAGAGTGGCTGTGGGCCCTCGGGTCTGTGAGGAGCTCTGGTCACGCACTCTTCCTGTGGGGACCTCTGTGGTCACCCCTCAAAATCTGCTGCCTGCCGGAGTGGCTGAGGGGTGGGGGTGAGCCAAGAATGGGGTCCCTGTTGGGGCTGAGCCACGAACTGAGAGCACTGGGTCCCTCCCTGTGGGAGGCCCAGTCCTGGCAGTGTCTTGTGGGGACACACAGACGCCCACACTTGGCTGAGTGCAGCCCTGGGGACACAGAAGTGAGTGGGGCGGGCCAGCCGAGTGGCGCGTTGGTTAAGAGCTGGCTTGGGACGCCAGAGGGCCCCGGTTCGGATCCCACATATGAGGGCCAGTGACACTGCCCTCCACAGCTAAGATGCTGAACAACAGCTCAACCTGGAGCTGGGCTGCTGTGAGTCGCTGGCGACGGCGTAGGCTACAGTCCCCTGCTGCAGTGGGTTGCCATGGGCTACCGTGTGTAGCCAGCAGCCAGCGTGAGCGGCCAGCAGCCGCAGTGAGCAGCCATCCAGAAGCCGGCGACTGATCTGCCTCGCCCGGGAAGAGCGCAATGATGGTGCCAACTTGGGCCAGTGAAGCAACATCCCCCACAACTAGACTGAAGAACAAAACGACAGCAACTTGTCTGTTCCCCTTTCCCCAGGTCCCCAGCATTGTTCCCCTCCCCCAATTCCCCAATAACATCTTTAAAAAAAAAGTGAGTGGGGTGTGAGCCCTGGCTGGGGCAGTAGGTCCTGCTGTGTGTGTGGACAACTGTGCAGACACCTGGCACTGCCAGGCGGCTCTGGGGGTAACAGCAGGGCTGAGGGACAGAGTGGGCACAGCCAGAGGAAGGGGTGAAGCGGAGGGCAGAGGGAGGAAGCGCTGACATCATGTGGGCCGGGGGACTGGAGAAGTGACGGGGCTACTGCAGGGACAAGGGCTGGGCCCTCCCCTGAATTCCCGGCAGGCCTGCCATCACCCACTCTGTGTGCCCTTCATCTGCACAGGGTATCGCCGGCGCCATCTGTGACCACGGTCCTATGGGGGCCGCGTCCCCCTTCCTCAGCGCATCTCCCCACTCATAGAGGGAGGAGACGTCCTTCCTGGTCCCCAGCCCTGTGCAGCCCCCTCCGTGGCCCCCTTGTCCACCCAGAGTCGCAGACCCCAGGGAAGATGCCACAGCAGCAAGACCGCATCACTGTGAATCCCGCCACGTGGGGCCCGTCTGCCCCCCATACCTCATGTGGGGTGCCAGGTTGAGGACCCCTTGTGCAGAGGCAGAGAGGAGCCCGGTCCCCACCCCGGGGCCCGTTGTCCGCTCTCGCCCACCATGATCCTGCCAGGGCGTAAGCACACGAGTGCAGCCTGTGCCTCCGGGACCTCGTGGCCCAGGAGCCCGAAACGGCCTGGGGAAGCCGGGGGACGAGGAAGCCACAGTGCCTGGGGGTGGCTGAGGGGCGCAGGGGCCAGCTGGCTCTCCGGCTCAGACAAACAGTGGCCCCTGGCGGCAGGACAAGGGGACTCTGGGCCAGCCCCACACGACCCTCCCCAGAGGCAAGACATGACCTCGACTTGCTCCAAAAGCCTCGGGCTGACCCTGTGTGCCTGTCACAGGCCTGTCCACAGCATCTCTGAGGGAGACACACGAGAGCCGCAGCCCTGCCACGTCAGCCCTGCCCTCTGCTGTTTCCTCGGCCCCAGGGAGGCCCTGCTGGGCCCTCAGCATCTGCTCCTACAGGGTGGGCAGGGCAGCTCGCCCCTGACAGGCAGCCCGGCCACACCCCGGACCCGCCCCCCTCCCCCCACCCACTCCCCCGTGGTGCCCTCAGCCTGTCAGGGAGGGGCAGGTCTGCGGGCAGGGGAGGGCCCGGATGGGCTGGAGCCTGCTGGGAACAACAGATCCCAACACATCTGAGGGGGCGGCTGTGTGTGGGCAGGGCACCCCTCCCCCATCACACACAGACACCTTTGTAATTGGAATTCCTCCTCCCCTGCCCTGGGCCTCACCTGACCCTCACGAGCTGGGGTTAATGGCGGCCAACAACCCCACTTCACAAGCTACTGCAGGGCCCCCTGTGGTGAGTAAAGTAGAACTCTTCACCACTCAGATGGTGTCAGAGACGAACTGTGTCCCCAAATTCCTATGTTGGAGCCCTGATGCCCAGGACCCTAGGATGTGGCTATGTGTGAAGCTGGGCCTTTAAACAGGTAATTAAGGTGCAAGGCGGCTGCTGGGCTGGGCCCTCATCCACTGTGCCTGGGGGCCTCATAAGATGTCGGGACACAGACACGCACAGAGGGACGACCCTGTGGGGACACAGGGAGGAGACGGCCGTCCACACGCGGAGGACAGAGGCCTCAGAACCAGTCCTGCCTGCACCTAGGTTTTGGGCTCCAGCCTCCAGGACTGGGTGTCTATGATTCAAGCCACCAGCTGTGGTGTTTTTGTGGTGGCCCGAGCTGACCAATATGGGGGGTACCTGAAGGCAACACCTCCTGCCCTCCCAGAGGCCAGGGACTTGGGGAGGAGGGACCTTCCAGGGGTCCCAGGTCAGGAAAGGGCTGTGTGGGAGAGGGGCCATGCACAAGGCGCTCAGAGCAGCTCTGACCTCGATGGATGGACAGGGGGCTGCGGGGGGGGGGGCAGATCCCTCCCAGGAGCTGGGGAGCTGCTCCCTGTCCTTCCTGTCCGGGTTCCTGGTGTCCCCACCACCAAGGCCCTTCTGAGCAGAGCAGGAGCCCCAGGCCTGTGCTGGAGCCCGGAGCCCAGACCCCAGCCCAGCTGGGTGAATGAAACACATTCCTGGGGGACCACCACTCGCCCATCCCCACTCACAGCCTAGCTGACCCTGATGTCCCGCCGGCAGGGGCCCAGGCTGGGGCAGCCGTGGTAAGGGGTGGTCCTCAGAGTAGGGGCCTAGAGGAGACACAGCACCCCCCCCACTCCACTGGGAAGGCAGCTGGGAGAAGCCCCCCAGAACCTGAGTCCAGGCAGGGGCCAAGCAGGCAGCCTCTGTCTGCCCCAGGGAGGAGCCTGAGGGAGCCACTGAGGACGGTGGGCACGGACAGGCGTGGACTGGCCCAGCGGGTGCCGGGCACTTGCCCAGCCCCGTGCACCGCCGACACACCGTGTCCCTGGCAGTGAGGTCTGCCTGTGGGTGACCGGCAGACCCCCTGGGAATGGCAGTCTTTGGACACACTCACCACTGACAGAGCAGCTCTTGAGAGAAGCGGTGCTAACACAGCTTCTGAGGGTGGGGAGACTGGGCCGCCCAGCGCCCAGCCAGGCAGAAGGCACAGCCGGCGCCTGACCAGAGCACAGGCCCCAGAGGGAAGGAGCCATTAGCAGACGGGGCCCAGCAGGGACCAATGTGAGAGCGCCGGGCAGGACGTGGAGCAGCTGTTACAGCTCAGTACACATGTGCCGCATTTACCAGTGACACGGAGGTGAGAGAAGACCTAACCCAGGCCACTGGCCCCCAGTCGGGACATGGCAGGAAACAGCAACAAAACCCGAAAAGAAAGCAGAAAGTCGAAGGAAACAGCAAGACGTGCCTGTGAGCTGGGGACAAACCCACCGACCTACACAGGTGCATTCAAGGACTTGGAGAGGAAGAGAGCGGGGGTGGGGGTGAGGGGGGGCAGGAAAATACCCGGAATGTGAACCCCCAGACCCAAAATGCTCAGGGAAAACCAGGTGCACCACCCGGGAGCACATGTGGGCCCCTCACCATTGACAGGCGGGTGCTGTGGCCACCCGCGGGGGACAGAGCGTGCAGCTGGGCAGCAAAGCGCCTTCTTGAAAGTGCTGGAAGGAAAGCTGGCAACCCAGCCAAAGATCCCCAAAAGAGCAGCGCAACGAAGCTAAAAGCCCAACAGCAGCAGAGACCCGGGGCGTGGACGGAGGCCAAGGCCTGGACCCATGTGCGGCGACGAGCCCCCACACTGCAGCTCTGTGGGTCCCCCCGCCCCCGGCCAGGCCTACATGCCACTCGCATCGTGAAGGTGGTCCACCCACCCGCTGACAGGGAAGCGCTTGCTAGGGGTGTCACAGCCCGAGAGGCTCTGCCCACAGTGCCCGCATGTGCCAGACCTTGTCCCTGCCCCACCTGTCACCTCCGGGAGACTCGCAGACCCACCGGAACAAGGCCGTGGGCGGGCAGGTGAGGGGCAGCAGCTCACCTGGTCCCGACCACAGGCTCACGGCCACCCCTGGAGGCCGAGTACTCGGAGCCGTAGAAGTTGAGCCCCAGGAGGATCTTGCTCCGCCACCGGGCCTTGGGGTCCAGCATCTGCACACAGGCTCGCACCCAGGACAGCGGCGCATTGGGGCCAGGCCTGCAGGACGAGGGGGCATGGGCGTCAGTGGCTGGTGGAGGCAGGGCCAGTCGCAGGGAGGGTGTCCTCCTGGTGACACGCGCCTGCTTGGCCCAGGCCTCCGCAGGCAGCAGCGGGACACTGCCACGCCTGCGGTTCCCCGCGGCGGCAACCCCACCCACAGGAGCACCGTCTCCTTGGCAACATGGCGGGCCTGGTGCCCGTGGCCACCGCTCAGTGTCTAGGCCCTGATGGGGTGGCTGGACACCTCAGGGGCTGCCCAATGCAGGGCCAGCTGTGGGCCTCGGGGGAGAAGGGATGGGGCCTCCACATCCCTGGAGCTGAGCTGACAGCACTGTGGCCCTGAGCTGAGGCGGGCGGGGGGCAGGGTGGGCAGCCAGGCTGTGCCTCTCTGAAGGTCCAGTGTCTGGGCCCGGAGGCGGTGGGCACGTCTGGCGAATGTGCAGCACCCAGGGCCCTGCGGGTTTACTCACTGCTGTGCGGTGGGGTAGTCGTAGGTCATGAGGCTGAAGCCGTCCAGCACGGGAGCCAGCTGCTCCCACTCCTTGAGTGTAAACGTGCCCAGCTGGTCTGTCCTGCACGAGACAAGCACAGCCACCACAGGCCCTTAGCCTGCCTCTCCCCAGCTGACACCCGGCCCGCGAGGACAGAGCAGCTGGCTGTGGGGGCCCCGAGCCCACACCCCTTCCTCGCGCCCCTCCAGGACCTCAGGTCACTTTCCCTGGAAATAACTCAGCAGTCGGTTACAGGGGACAGCCTGTAGCTTGGTCAGGGCCACTCTAGGAGCAGGGCTGGGGCTGCGAGGCCCACCAGGCGGTCTCTAGGGCCCCGCCCCTCCCAGACCCCCAGCCCTCTGCCCCCACTTTGCCCCACAGGGTGGGCACTTCCTTCCTCCATCACCCCAACTAGCCACTGTCCCTGGGCCACACTGTGGGGTGCCCCCCCACTGGGGGCCCCACCTTGCAAGGTGCCAAATGCCCACCCCCCAGAGAATCCCCTACCGCCTCCCCAATCCTTAACCCGCTTTGGCCCTGTCCACATGGCCTCACCCTGCACCTCCCTCTCCCCCCAGACACCATGAACCTGCCTGCCCCCCAACAGCCCTGTCCAGGCCGACCCTACTCTGCCCATGATCACTACCCCGGCCTCACCTGGCCAGTGGCTACCGCCCACAGAACAGTCCCCCAATAGCCCTGGTGGAGACCTAAGAGGTGGCAGGCGGGAGGCCTGCCCATTATTGGGGTGCCCACATCTGTTTGTTCCCCACAGGCCCCATCACCCAGGCCCCCGGTCAGCTGTCACCTGCTCAGCCCTGTGGCGCCTCCGGCACCTGCCCCACAGCGGTCAGAGTGGACCCGTCGGCCTGCAGGCCCTGGTCCGCTCCTCCCCTGGCCAGTGGGACCCCTCAGCTCTCCAGCCTGGACCTCACCCGTCCACATACACTGTCACCCTCCATCCTTGTCCCACATCCACAGGTGGCCTGTGCCCACCACCCCCAAGGAACTCCCACCCCACTCATCACCTTTCTGACCATGGAACCCCAGGGGCGGCTGGAGGAAACTGGGGGGCAGCCCACATCAGGGTGGACATCTGCCCACGAGGATGCCCCAGAAGGCGCCAGCAGCAGGGACAGTGAGTGGGGACTGGCCTCAGCTGGTCAGGGAAGGTCCGGCCTCCTGGGGGAGGTCAGCTCCCTGGGGTTAAGCGAAGGGCGCCTGCCCAGGGCCCAGGAGCTGCAGGTGCCGGGAGATGTGCTGTCTGATTAAACCAGTTCATCGTGTGTGCGTCTCCAGCAGTGTGTGCCGCTGAGCAAGAGCTGGAGGATGGAGGACGGCGGCAGCTCCCCAGGGCAGGCTGTGACCTTGAGAGCAGGGCTCAAGGTCAGCACAGAGGTGGGGTCCCAGACACAGACCCCTCCCAGAGCGACTGTTCCCTGTGGTTCCCACGCAGGCTGCATGGTGAATCCCGCTGTGGAAACGCAGATAGGCAGTGCCACCAAGTGTGGGGACCAGGATAAGGATAAGCGCCAACAACAGACAAACTCCTGGGGCACCACCAGCCAGGCCCTGCCCCCAAGGCACACAGGCCACCCCAGGGGCCATGCTCCCTGCCCTCCGGGCGTCCCTGGGGTGACATGCGGAGGGAGCACCCTCCCTTGGTGGCTGTAGGGTGAGCAGCTCACAGGTCCACTTCCTGCCAAGGTGCCAGAGGGTGTGAAGGTTCCCGGGCAAAGGCTGGCTCCTCCAGGGGCATCTGCCCGCTCACTGCCCCTACCCCCCAACAGCTGCGAGGCTGAGTGGACGGCCGCACCAGGGAGGGAGCTGCGGGCGGGGACCTGGCTCCCGCGGCAGCACTGGGCAGCCCTCCGCCTGTCCTGCCCGAACCACCCAAAGGAGCCAGGAGACCCAAGGACTGGGGCCGCTCTGAGAAGTGGCTGCCACCCAGTCTTCCCAAGCACTGGCTCCTCTCCCCTCCCAGGCCTGGCTCTGACCCTGGAAGCCACAGGCGCCCCATCAGACACATGCCCGGCACACGTGGACATGCGTGTGTGCACGCGGGAGGAGCACACACAGATGGGGCTCCGGCTAGGCTCCCTCCTGGTCCAGCTCCAGGATGGCTGCCGGCTGTAGACACAGGTCTGAAACCCACCTGCAGCCCGCCCACCGAGATGAGAACCCTGGAAGTGTGGGCAGGAAAGCTGGATGGCAGGCTGCTGCCCAGGTTGTGCAAAGGGCCCGAGGCCTCTGGTGATGTGTGGTGGGCACCATGGGCATAAGAGCAGAGCATGAGGGCAGCCAGCCAGGCCCGCAGTCCCCAGGGCCCTTTGGTGTGGGTCTGTCAGCCTGTGAATGGGATTGGCCCGAGGCGTGTCTAACTGGTCCCCTTGGGAGCTGGTGGAGGCCGGGCAGAGCTCTCAGTCAGTCTGGTCCGGGGCCTCGGTGGCCCCTCGACCCTGGGTCTGGCCTTGGCCCTCACAGCAGGACTCGCAGCCTCTTCCGTGCTCAGTACAGGGCGTGATGCACTGGACAGGATGGACATGGGAGTCAGACCGCCCGGTTCCGCAAGTGCCTCAAAGGGCCTGGGGGATGGGAGCAGTGACCACACAGCCAGCCCTGACCTCCAGGGGGGCCAGCAGGTGTAGTTTGGCCCGGGGGCTCCAGGCCTCCTGAGCTAGCGGAAGTGTCTGAAGGGCTCCGCCCCTCAGCCTTAGGGACGTCCCTGCCTTCCCGTATGTAGGTGCAGGGACGCAGCCTTCAACTGCTGATTCGGGGCCCCAGACTGGTTTCCACACCTGTGCGTGCAGTGGCCACAGCATCTGCCCGGAGGGGCTGGGTGCCAACCAGGAAGGCCCCACCTGGAGTGAGCGTGCACTTACCCAGGGATGACAGCTGGCGGGATGACCAGGATGGCCAGCAGCCGGGCCTGGTGCAGGGCCTCGGCCATGTGGGTGAGCATGTGGATGAGGCCGCTGTGAGGAGAAGGGAGGACAGTTCAGGAGCTGACGGTGGGCACTTCCCGCCCGAGGCACAGGCTGCTGTGGCCCAACAGCAGACAAGGGAGCAGCGGGGCAGCTGGTGGGCCCTGGGGTCGCCCTGCACCCTGACAGACACTGGGGGCCGCGCAGCACCCCGATGTGCCCCAGGACCAGGACTGGTGCTGTGGGGGCTAACCTGGTGCCCCAAGGAGCCGGCCCCGACTACCCAGTGCCCTCGTGCAGCAGCCCCCGGCCTGGCAGCCGCCCAGACACAGTTCCGCCGCTTCAGTCCCAGGCAGGGACGCAGAGAGGGGGTGCCCTATGCTGGGACCCACAGGTGGGGCACTTGTGGGTGGGCACCGGGCGTGTCCCTCCACTGGAGCCTGAACATGGGGAGGGGTGTCTCAGTGGGGGGATTGAGGTGATCGCGTCACGAGCTCCTCTGGCCCCTGGAAGTAGGGCAAGTGGCAGTGTCAGAGCCAGTTGGCAGCATACCCAGCAGGAAAGAGACCAGCTTGGCTCCTGGCATGGCCGGGGAACACCTGTCGGGATGCCCCCAGCCCCACAGGCAGCGTGCTGCTTTCATGAGCCTCAACCCTGCTGATGGCAGGTTTCTGGACAGCTGCACCTATGCACCCACTCTGGCCTGGCCCCGCTGTCACTGTGCGTGGGAGGCTGAGCCCAGTGCCCCCTGCAGCCTCTCATGAGCTGCCTGTCTAGAGAGCCAGTGCTGCGCCCACCCCGCCCCCAGCAGTGCATCCGAAGGGCAGAGGTACCGGACTGGACTGACACTGGCAGGGTGACCAGAGCAGACTCCAGTGCGAGCCTGCAGAGCACAGGTGAGGGCGGTGAGCCGCTGCTGGCCCCGAGGCTGGAATGGGGCCTGGTGTGCGCCAAGCGCTTGGCCTTGGTGGCTTCTCAGAGGCCCCCACTGGGCCCAAGCTCAGGCTGCGGGCCGTCCACGCACGCCCAGGAGAGCACCTGCACTCAGGAGGCCGGCCCAAACCTAGGCCACCCTTGGCTCTGCCAGAGCTGTCACACCATCCGCTGTGTTCAGCACCTGTCACTGTCACACTTCTGGGCTTTTGGGACTCCCTGAAGACTGTCTGTGGGAAGGGAGGAGTGGTCTCATGCCCTTGGGGAGCACCCACACAGCTGGGTGTCTGCTAGCACAGAGTCCCAGGGCCACCCGTGTCACCCGTGTGCAGACATGGGGACCACTCACTCACATATGCTCCTGGCCTGGCAGCTGGCCCCACACTTCCACCACGAAGCCGTCAAAATGCTGGCTCTGTAAGGACCAGGGACAGTTGGGGGAGGGGAGGCAGTGACCCAGGAGGCAGACATGGAGCCCCTCTCTGAAGGGGGCAGCATGGGGGTCCCCACAGAAAGCAGAACCAGAGAGGCCAGGGCGCTTGTGTATGCTGCCCACTCCTGTGCCTCCCCACACCCCAATCACTGCGGCGCAGCACTGGGCAGCTGGGATGGGTCCCCTCCCAGGGCTGCGGGCAGCTGGGCATCACCCAAGGGAAGACCCCCAGGCCTGGAGACCCCTGGAGTCGAGAGGCAGCCCAGGGCAGCCTGTGCCAGCCGCGCTGAGCGCCAGGCCTCACCTTGGCGACCTGAACCATGCTCTTGGTGAGCTCTTCTATCTCGTCCTCGCTGTCCCAGACGCTGCGGAAGTCCTCATGAGACCAGCCCTCAAACAACAGCCTGGGCACTGGGGACAGACCCACGAGGCACTGTGCCGCCCTGTGCTCCACCCACCCACACGGTGCCCATGGCCTCCAGAGCAGAGTGACCACACAGCCGGGTACCCAGCGTGGTCATCCCAGCAACATGGCCTGGCAAGGGAGGGGCTCTGGGGCTGGGGAGGGACCGAGATGCTGACCCCTTTCTGCCCTCTGGCGGTCCCCGACGGCCCAGACCCCACTTGCCCCAGCTCTCTGCCGCCTGGCCTGTGCTGGATGTCTTCCGGCCCGTCAACGCCACGTGCAGGCGCCCTCCCAGCTCCCCACCCCCGGCTCCCCCACTTCCCGGACCCCGCTGTTCCCACCGTGCTTTAGGACATCGGGACAGTACGCCCCCTTGCCAGCTGTGAGCTCCAGTACAGGGCAGGGCTGGCGTCACTCCCGGGGCCCTCAATAAATGCTCACTGATGAACGAAGAAGAAATGGGGGGGCGAGTGCATAGCAAAGGAGGCGCTGGCCTTGAGGGGCTGAGCCAGGTGGGCACGAAGGCCACAGGACCTGGCTGGACTGAGGGCTGTGAGCGCCGGGCTCGGGGCTGGCCTGGTTTCTGAGCAGTCGGGGAGTGACCGATGCCCAGGGCAGCACAGCCTGGACTCCTAGGAACAGGCGAAGACCCTGGGGCCCTCATTCACTCACAGGGGGGTCACACCAGCCGGGGCCTCCACCCCACGTCGCTGGCCTAAGGGTGGGCGCCCTGACTGCCAGACGTGCGGACTCACCTATGCGTAGGCCCTTGGCCTGCTTCCGGACCGTCCGCATCCACCCTGTGGGACGTGCAGAGGACGGTCAGTGAGGAACACAGCCCCACGCCCACCCGAGGAGGAAGGGCTTCGCCACACAGCGGGAGAGCAGAGGGAATGCAGACAGAATCCGCGAGCCGGAGTCCCTCCTCCCCTTGCACAGCAGCCCTGGCCCCGGGCAGCTCAGACCCATAGCTGGAGGAGGACAAGGTGCCGCCCCGGGGGACGCACCCCAAGGGGCCTGGGACTGTTTCTTGGAGCTGAGGGGTGACTGGAGGGCCAAGCTCCAATGCTGCCCTTGTGGCACCAGGGAGCCTCTGGGTCTCGAAACTCAACTGCCTGACACACATGTCCTCTCTGAGGCCAAAAGGAGGCCGTGTAAACGTGGGCATAGGCCCACAAGACGGCTGATGGGACAGCCGGGCCCTCACCCCTCCTGGACAGTGTGCAAACCGCCGAGAGGGGCGGAGGTGCAGATCGATGGTGTAGTGATCACACTCACAGACACACACACTCAGGTACACACACACACTGACACACACACACACACACACACCCTCAGGTACAGACACACACACACACACACACTGACACACACACACTGACACACGCTCTCTGGGCCCTGGGATGGGCAGCAAGGTGAGACCTTGGTCCACGTCGTGAAGGCCTGTGACCTCGAACAGCTCACGGCCGCGCCTCTTTATCTGTAGCCATACAGGTGAGATGTGCGTGAACTTGCCCCCGAAGACCTTGGCAACGTCGTAGCCGTGGCTGTTCCACTGGTGGCGTACGGAGGACGGCTGAGCCCACCTGCAGCTGCAGAGGGCCCGAGAGCCGCCTCTGGACAGGGCGCCATAGGCCCACCTGCACCATGCGGACAAGCCCCCAGAGGACCTGTGGCCGTTCCCGCTGCTTCCCCAGCAGGCACCTGTCCTGCTGCACCCCCTCCATGCAAACGCAGACCCCAGTTGCCGCCTTGCCCTGGGGACCGCCCTGTGCACACCAGGGCCCAGCTTACTGGAGTGACGTAGCCCAGGACGTCCCCAGCAACGTGCCTCTCCCGGGCCTTTGCTGCACAGTAGCTGCGATGCTCGAGGACCACGTCCTCAGCTCTGGGGTCCGTCACCACCAGACCCCGATCTTGGACAGGCTTATCTGAAAGCTGAGTCTAAAATGAAGGAACAGGGAGAAAGTCATCAGTGTCCGCCGTGCTTGGGCGGAGGGCAGAGCCCTCCATCAGCCAGGGACTGTGTCTGGACCAACATGGTGCCGCTGACCAGGACACCACAGGGAAAGACTGCCCTTGAGCAGCGGACACTCCCTGAAGACGTGCTCGGCCTCCCTGGGCCATCTGAGTCACCCTGCTGACTCGCACACTGCCGTGGCCGCTCCAGAGCTCAACGAGGCGGGACAGGTGCCGGTGTCCAAAGCAGCAGCAGGTGCATGAGGACCAAAATCTGGACATTGTCACAGAAGATGGCCAGGTGTGGCCAGGCACACCTGAGGCCCCAACCCCCGAAGCCGCTCCCTCTGATGCCATCTAGCAAGAGTGCCAGGGTGGTACCAGGTCAGCTGCCCGAGGCGGCCAAGCGCCCCAGCCTCCTGGTTCGGAAGCCGCGTGGGCACACGGCCCCAGCGGGCAAGACAGAGGCGCAATGGGTCAGCACTGCGGCCAGTCCCCAGACCCCTCTTACCTTCTCTGACAGGGTCTTCGAGGCGGCCTTTTTGGCATCTGACTTTGACAAGGTGGTGTGGACAGAGCCACAGGCCAGAGCGAGCCAGAGCGTGCTAACGAGTGCCTTCATGGCGGGCATGTCACAGCGGGGTCCAGCCTCAGGGTCCGGGGGGCTGCAGGCAAGCAGAGCACATGGAGACCATCGGCCGCATGGGGTGGCCTCTGCCCACTGCGGTGCTGGCCATCACAGGGCCTAGGTCTTCGTGTACTGGGCTGGGCACTGGCCCCAGGACTGAGGCCTGCTCTGCACCAGCCCCAACGGCCGGGGTCCAGCTTCCAGCACTGCCGAGCCCTGGGTTCCTGTCAGCCAGCCAGAAAGGGGTTTCCTGCCTCTGGCCAGAGAGCTCTCCCCACTGCCTCAGGGCCATCTAGGAAACTGTTGGCTCTCCCCTGCCCCATCAAACCCACAGAAGTCACAGCCAGGGGGGCTTCACTGCAAATACAGAACCTTGGAAAGGACTGGAAAAAACGTGGGTTCCTGTTCACGACAAGTCAACGGGGAGGCTTTCCCAACTATGTCAGCTGGTCGGGGTTAGGGAGGAAAACGCCGGCAGAATTTACTACACGAGAACATAAAATTTGCAATTAGGAAACAAAAAAGCAAATATGAAGAATAAACAAAAAAAAAATGCTGAGAACACAGCAGTGAGTTTCTATCACAGCCAGGGGGGCTTCACTGCAAATACAGAACCTTGGAAAGGACTGGAAAAAACGTGGGTTCCTGTTCACGACAAGTCAACGGGGAGGCTTTCCCAACTATGTCAGCTGGTCGGGGTTAGGGAGGAAAACGCCGGCAGAATTTACTACACGAGAACATAAAATTTGCAATTAGGAAACAAAAAAGCAAATATGAAGAATAAACAAAAAAAAAATGCTGAGAACACAGCAGTGAGTTTCTATCCATTATCCAGCCATAACATGCAAAGAACTCTCACAAATCAAGAATAAAAGGTACTCCAATAAAAAAGCCCCACTACAAACATGAGGAACATGAAGAGGAGTAATACAGAGAAACCCAGAGCCCCAGGAGTTGAGTCTGATTCTGGGAGCGCAAGTTGGGGAAACCCTTTTGAATGACAGCCTGCCCATAAGCACTATACTTTCCAACACGTTTCCTTTCTTTCGCAAACTCCGCTCTAGGGGGCTTCCCCACCCGCGAGGAATTGGCACAGAGGACCACCGTCCCGTCCTGCAGGGGAACGCGGACCAGCACGGAGCTGACGGTGCACAAGGGGGCGCTGAAGAGCAGCGAGCGCTGTCTGACCTGCGCCTCCAGCCGCGCCCGCTTCTGGCTTCACGCGCACCATCTGCTCCGCTGCACCGGACTTTTACTAATCGTGCAGCTCGTTGTCAGGTCCCCCCACCCGCGATTCCAGGTCTTTCACTCAGGGCAGCCGAGGAAAAGGCAGGCCCAGCGTGGCTGCCATCCTCGGTGGGTCTTTAAAACGTGCAGGTGTGAGGAGCACATCAGCCAAGTCCCACCGCCCTGGCACATGCTCCCTCCAGAGCAGCTGAGGGTGGACATGCATGTCCTGACCAGGGAGGGCGTGGCTGTCAGGAGCTGGCAGAGCCAGGCCCTCCACCCCCTCCTCTGGACCTGCTTCCCAGTGAGGAGGGGCACAGGCCGACCTGTTCTGGGCTGTCGCTTCCCTAGGTAAGTGGGTGCCCTGGGCAATGAGCTTCCATGCTGTGACACCCACAGGGTACCTGCAGGACACAGCCCAGAGCCAGCAGCTCAGAATCCCCCTCCCCGGGAGGCACGGATGGCCTGGCCAAAGGGCTTCGGAGGAAAGAAGGGACACGAAGCTGCTGGGAAGGGTAGCATTCATCCGGCAGCCATGGCAACTCCGAGGAGGTGCAGGCGAAGGACAGAAAGACCCACGCCCAGGCCACCACCCTTTGCCCCTCTCGGTGACATTTTCCAGCATCAAAATCAAGGACAGCAGCCTCTGACACCGTAGCCCGGCCCAGCCTAGTGGTGAGACCCGGGCTCGTGGGGCACAGCCCCCGGGCTGGAAGGAAGGGCCCTGGGGGAGGGGCCTACAGCCACGGCAGGGGCAGGCGGCCCAGTCACCCATTGCTCCTCTGGCCAGGCTGAGACTGCAGCTGTGAGGAGCCATGAGGCCAGAAAAACACCTGACCGGATGTGTTTCCATGTGCTACAGAGCTGAGCTGAGGGCAGGAGCCACATGGAGCGGGGGCACGCGGACGGGCACACTGTCTTTGGCCCAGTCCCCTCAGGCCCCCTCCATGACCCAGGCTTCTCCTCAGCTCAGGTGGAGATGAGTCACTGAGCATGGACAGGAATGAGACGAAGCAGGGGGTGCTGCCCCAGCAGTAACCAGGGGCCCCACTGCTTGCCACCCCACCTGCACACAGGTGGACAGACCCCTGCACATGACCCTTGGCCATAGGGGAGGAAGAGGGCAGGGTGGTCATGGGCCAATCTGGAGAAAGACAGACCCTGCCAGCTTCTGTGCCCAGAGAAGGGGCAACGGAGGACCAGACTGAGAGCAAGGCCTGGGCTGGCACTGCCCCTGAGCCCCTGCACCCGGAGGGGGGGGGGCTGGGATTAAGAGCAGCGGCATCAGAAGAACCTAGAGTGCTGGGCTGCTCCCGGAACAGCCACGGAACCTTCCAGGCCGACTGCCTACAACTTGGTGGCGGGGGCTCTGTGTACGAACTGTGTGACATATGGGGAGCTAGTGCTGTGGTGAGTCCCTTCTCTGGGCACCTCCCCCGCTCCCCACTGTGCACTGTGGGCAGGTGTCCGCCGGGCCACTCTGCCCAAGGCATCATGCTCTTCCTAGAGCCGACTGCTGGGCTCACACACACCGTTCCTGTGTCAAAATGTTTCATCCCCACAGTAACAACGTCCTTTGGGTGGAAGGGCCCCCCGCAGAGGGGGTGTGGTGTGTCACCCAGAGGGCCCTGGGAGGCGGGGCCTCAGGCCTGCTGTGTGACTGTTACCGCGAAGAGCCCACCATTCGAGGCTCTAGGCTCCTGGAAGAACTGTTTCTGCAGTGTGACCAAAGGGCAGGGAGTCGCAGCGGTGACTTTCGAATGTTTTTCATGAAGACGCAGTAAGAAAGTTTGCCATAGCCCAGTGCATGCGTGCACTTCCTGCGTGTACACGTGTTGCACATGTGCTCAGTGACAGGGGCCGATCGCAGCTCCCCTGCTCTGTGATGCCCTGCAATTTCCCCTCTGCTTCATTTACAAGACACTGGTTTTTACCCGTCAACTTGGTCTCGCTATTCATTGAGAAACGCTGAGCAATGTGCCCGGAGTGTCTGTCACCAACACGGGGCTGGACCCTGAGCCGAATGTGTCAAGTGTAATGGCCAAATGGCAAGTGTAATGGTCACTCATCGGAGTGCTCACCTTTCAGCACAAATTCTGGAAGCAGCTGAGTTCCTGCGGGGAGGGGAAGGCGGCGAGCCGGTGGGACCACAGCCCTGGGGGACATGTACTGACCACCGGCTGCGTCCGGCCGTGAGTTCACCACCACCCCGGCCTGGGCCCTGTCGTCATTCCCCCCCTCACAGAGGAGGAAGCGGAGCAGAGGAGCATGTGGACACGGCACTGCGTGGACAGGGCAATGGAAACAGGCATGCCACCAACCACTGTCCCCTACCTCCTTGGGCTCAGCTCTAGTGACCTGGGGATCAAGGGACAGGCGAGTCACCCTCCAGTGTGGAAAGCCTACACGTTCAAGGCTGGGGGCCGGGCGAGTGGGGTCCAGCCTAGCGCACCCCAGCAAACATGCGGTCACTGGCCCCGCACTCGGGCCTGGCCTCTCGGCCCCTGGTGACAGGACGGCCACAGCTCTCCCTGCCTCACCGCCTGACACTAAATCGTGTTATTTCCACTGAGGTTCGTGTTCCCACACGCTCGTCCGCACTGGTGCACGCTCTGCGCCCCCCACCCACGTTCTCGAGAACCCACACGATGCGGGGCACCCACATCCTCTCGTCTACACCCGGAGTGGGGTCCAGCGCCGCGCCTCCCGCTCTCACACGCGCCGCCCGCCGCCCACTTCACGAAGGGGAGCTGAGGACGTGAGAGGAGAAGGAGCAGGCGCCGGGACGCGGGGCGCGGGCACCTCTCGGCCGGCCGCCGCGGGGCTCACCTTCATGTTCCGGAGGCCGGCCGGACCACCCCCGCACACAGCCGGAAGACGCTCGTGCGCGCCGCCGGAAGCCCCGCCCCGCGACGTCCGCGCACGCCGCCGCAGGGCCAGTCCAGTTTCCGCTCCGCCGCCGCCTCCGCCACCGCCACGCACGGCACGCTGAGGGGGGAGGGAATAGGGGCGGGGCGGGGGAGGGGCCTGTATTGCAGCGGAGCCTGGAGACAGGCCGGGGGGCGCGATAACGCGGAGCCTGAAGAGGGGCGGGATCTGGAGACGACCGGTCGCGGGCGCCTGGTGGGGGCGGGGAACAGGAGCAGGGGGGCGGGGCCTGGCTGCAGGCCGGGGGCGGAGCCCAGGAGGGTCCTGGGGCCCACTGAGGTTGGGTCCCGACGCGGCCAGGACCCGGGGGCGTGAGGACCCCGCACCCCCGCGGGATGGTGAGCGCCCCTGTGTCGGGCGCTCCGTGAACCCCAGGCTCTCCGGGGAACCGGACGCCCTTGCTGCGCGGTTCCCTCTTGGGCATCGCGGCGTGTCGGGGAGGCGGTCCCCTCGTCTCCCCAGCGCTGGAGCTGCTTGAAAGCTAGGCGCCAAGTACGACGTCTGTGTTGCAGCCACGTGGTGGTCTCCAGAGGGGGCCTGACTCTCCAGATTTCTGCCCAGCGTGGGCCGGTGGCCGAGGGTACAGCCCAGGACTGGCCTCACCCGCTTCCAGGTTCTTCTCTCTTGGAAGCAGGAATCGTCTCCGGGTTTTCCCCCTACCCCTCTGGTGTCCGCCCCCCAGACTAGCCCTCCTCGGCCATACCCCTTATCTCTCCGGGTGAGAGCACCTCAGCCCTCAGCTTTGATCACCATCCATGGGCCAGTGGCGTCCACACGCTGTCTGGAGCAGGGACACAAAACCCCACATAACCCGAGACCCAGTGTTGCCTCTGTCCTCACCCCCAGGAATGGTGGCACCATCTTGCACATCTCACAAGCTGGAACCCCCAGGGGAAAACAGAACCCCTCCATCTCAGCCCCCACCAAGATGAGTCACTGGGTCTCTGGGATGGACTGAATGCACACATGGCCAGCAGTTTTGTTTTTTTTAAGATTTTTATTGGGGATTTGGGGGGATAGGAACAGTGCTGGGGAATTGGGGGAAGGGGAACAGACAAGTTGCTGTCCTTTTGTTCTTCAGTCTAGTTGTGGAGGATGTTGCTTCA